GTGTGTGTGCTCTTTCTCTAAAATAAATAAATCTTTAAAAAAAGAGAGAGAAAGAAATGAGTGTTAAGGAGAGCGCTGCATTAGAGACAAAGAAGTTTAAACCAAAATATATTTTAGTTTTTCAACCAGTTAAGTAAAACTGAATAGAAGTTAGTCATCACTTGAACAAATAGATATTCCTGTAATAATAGCGGAACCTGACTTGCACTTCAGATATAGATCTGTGGAAGAGGGGCGTAAATGTCCTCTGCAGGAGCATCTAGTGGCTCAGTCAGTCAAGCGTCTGGCTTGGCCTCAGGTCATGATCCTGCAGTGCTGGGATCGAGCCCCGCATCAGGCTCCTTGCTGAGCAGGGAGCCTGCTTCTCCCTCTGCTCCTCTCCCTGCTTGGGCACTTGCACACACATTCACTCACTCTCTCTCTCTCTCTCTGACAGATAAATAATAAAATCTTAAAAAGAAAAAGTTATTGAGACTTGTTTTATAGCCTACCAGATGGCCCGTCTTACAGAATGTCCCATGTGTGTTTCAGAGGATTGTTTGAGTTGGATCAAGTGTTCCATATATGTGAGTTAGACATATGGTTGAGAGTATTGTTTATACCTTCTGTATTGCCCTCTGACCTTCCTTGTTTCTGATGAGATTGTTTCTGATGAGATGTACCTGTTAATATTGTTGCTGTTCTGTATGTGATGTCATTTTTCTCTTGATGCTTTCAATATTCTCTCTCTGTCCTTGGACTTTGGAAATTTCACTATGATGTTTTAGGTATGATGCTCTTTGTATTTCATTGAACTCTTTGAATGTTCGGTGAGCTTCTTGGCTTGGTAGATTAATTTTTATTTTTTAATTTTTATTTTTTAAAGATTTTTTATTTATTTGACAGAGATCACAAGTAGGCAGAGAGGCAGGCAGAGAGAGAGGAGGAAGCAGACACCCCACTGAGTAGAGAGCCCGATGAGGGGCTCCATCCTAGGACTCTGGGATCATGACCTGAGCTGAAGGCCTTTGCCTTTGCCACCGAGGCGCCCCAGTAGATTAATTTTTTAATCGAATGTGGGAAATTTTTTGCCATTTATTCTTGATATTTTTTCTGCTTTCTGTCTTTTGGGACTTTCATTACAAATATGTTGGAAACTTGATATCTTTCTGTAGGTGTCTGAGGCTCTGTTCTTTTTCTTCCAATCTTTTTTCTCTCTGTTCTTTGGATTGAATAATTTCTCTTGGTCTCTGATTAATATATCATAATCCAGACTTCTACAATACATTATTTGAAACCAAATTCAGTGATTCTTCTACTATCTCAAATTTGCTCTTTATATCTAGAGTTCTCATTTGATTATTTTCTAGGTTCTATTTGTCGAGATATCCTATCAAGTATTGTCATCTTTCTTTTAATTCTCTGAACATACTTATAGTATCTACTTTTTAAAGATAGTATGTCTTTATTTTTTGTTTTAAGATTTTATTTATTTATTTATTTGACAAAGAGAGAGATCACAAGTAGGCCGAGAGGCAAACAGAGAGAGAGAGGAGGAAGCACGCTCCCTGCCAAGCGGAGAGCCCGTTGCGGGACTCGATTCCAGGACCCTGAGATCATGACCTGAGCCGAAGGCAGAGGCTTAACCCACTGAGCCACCCAGGCACCCTAGTATCTACTTTTGAAGTCTTTGCTAAATCTATCATTTCTGTCAATTTCTACCTAATACCCCTTTTATCCTGATTAAGAGTCATACTTTTTTATTTCATTACATGTCTAATAATTTTTGGTAGAAAACTTGACATTTTAGGACACCTGGGTGGTTCAGTTGGTGAAGCAGCTGCCTTTGGCTCACATCATGATCCCAGGGTCCTGGGATGGAGCCCCACATCAGGCTCCCTGCTCAGTGGAGAGCCTGCTTCTCCCTCTTCCTCTGCCTGATGCTCTGCCTACTTGTGCTCTCTCTCTCTATCCCTCTGTCAAATAAATAAAATCTTTATTTTTTTTTAAAGATTTTATTTATTGATTTGACAGAGAGAGATCACACTTAGACAAAGAGGCAGGCAGAGAGAGAGAGAGAGAGAGAGAGAGAGAGGGAAGCAGGCCCCCCGCTGAGCAGAGAGCCCGATGCGGGACTCGATCCCAGGAGCCTGAGATCATGACCTGAGCCGAAGGCAGCGGCTTAACCCACTGAGCCACCCAGGCGCCCCTAAAATCTTTATTTTTTTTAAAGATTTATTTATTTATCTGACAGATCACAAGTAGGCAGAGAGGCAGGCAGAGAGAGAGAGGAAAGGAAGCAGGCTCCCCGCTGAGCAGAGAGCCCGATAAAAATAAAATCTTTAAAAAGAAAAAAAAAACTTGACATTTTAGATAATGATCGTAGTAACTCTGCCTTCTAATTTTTTGATAGTTGTGTTTGCTTTCATAACTTGTCTTGTGCAACTGCTGATGTTCTCTGGTCAGGTTTTTTATTCTTATATTTTTAAGCTTGGCTTCCTAGGAGTTGTACCTGTGTCCACAGAACTTAGTGACCAACCAGTGACTTGGGCAGAGGTTGTGCTCAAGCATCTTAATAAGAAAGGTCTCAGATCCATCCGTGTATGCGTTGGGATACAAAGTTGCTGTCAGTTTTCAAGTGAACCTTAGCTTTTACTTTTTACCGGGCTTGCTTACATCTTCTCTACCCATTCACATAGTTTTCTAGTGAGCTAGGGATTTACGGAGAGCTTTTGGCCTTTTATGGCTCTTTAGTTTCTAGGATCTCCCTGTTCTGTCACTCACCTCAGCCAGGACTATACCTTGGGCTTACAGAACTGTGGGCTTCTCTTACTCTCTCCTGATCGAGTTTACCACTTTTAACTGGCAGGGTTACAGGTATTACCCATTGGTCTGCATTGAGTTTGCCCCCCTCTGGCAGTCACAGCCGTTCACTAGTAAAATGATTCCTACCAACCAAGGGAGTGGTGATGGTGAGGATGTGAAAAGCCACAGGCAGAAAGGCCACTGACTTCCCCTGTCCTTACCTGAAGCTTTAGCAACTTTTTAACAGTAAGCATTTCTTTTTTTTTTTTTTTTCCTTTCAAGATTTATTTGTTTCTTTGAGAGACAGCATGAGGGGAGGGGCAGAAGGAAAGGGAGAGGAGCAGACTCTGTGCTGAGCATGGAGCCTGACACAGCAGGGCTTGATCCCATAACCCCGAGACCATGACCTGAGCCAAATTCAAGAGTTGGATACCCAACCAACTGAGCCACCCAGACGCCCTAACAGTAAATGTTACGTAATTGGGGTTTTTTTTTTCCACTTTATTTTTTCAGTGTTCCAAAATTCATTGTTAATGCATCACCCCCAGTACTCCATGCAATACGTGCCCTCCATAATATCCACCACCAGCCTCACCCAACCCCCAACCCCCGCCCCTCCAAAACCCTCAGTTTCCATAATTGTTTTTTGCATTTGGTCCATTTCCAGAACCCTGCAGTGGTTGTCTTTGACAATCACAGCCAAGGTGCAGTACACCACCTCTGTTAGTATGAGAACAGTGGGAGCACTCCTGAAATTCAAGGTCCCAGATGCCAACCTTGCAGGCAGGCCTTTCTGAGGATCCCAGTCTGAGGCCTGGTCATCATCCTGGTCTTTTTCGGTAGTTGAACTATTCCTAGTGTTTCACTTGAGTATAATAATCAAAGTTCTTCTGTTTACTTTTTTTTTTTGCTTCAACTTCAGGTTTAAAGCAATGATTTATAAGTATTTTCCCCTTATTTACCTATGTGGCTTTAAATCTTTAAAAATAAAATTTCCCCTGATAGATACATGATTTCATTCATACATCAAATTAGCGATCATTTTTTTTTAAAGATTTTATTTATTTATTTGACAGAGAGAGATCACAAGTAGACAAAGAGGCAAGGAGAGAGGGAAGCAGGCTCCCCGCTTAACAAAGAGCCCGATGCGGAACTCGATCCCAGGACCCTGAGATCATGACCTGAGCCGAAGGCAGCGGCTTAACCCAGAGCCACCCAGGCGCCCGCGATCATCATTTTTAAGAATTTGTTTTATTTATTTAAGATTTTATTTATTTGAGAGAGAGTGAGCACGGGAGAAAGCATGAATGGGGGACAGGCCAGAGGGAGAGGAAGGAACAGATTCCCAGCTGGGCAGGGAGTTTGACATGGGGCTTGACCCCAAGACCCTGGGATCATGACCTGAGCTGAAGAAGGCAGACACTTAACTGACTGAGCCACCCAGGCACCCCGATCATCATTTTTTTTTTTAAGATTTTATTTATTTATTTGACAGCACAAGCAGAGGGAGCGGCAGGCAGAGGGAAAGGGAGAAGCAGACTCCCCTCTGAGCAGGGAGCCCAACTTGGGACTCTATTCCAGGACCCTGGGGTCATGACCTGAGCCAAAGGCAGATTCTTTTTTTTTTTTTTTTTTTTTGAGATTTTTATTTATTTATTTTGAGAGAGAGAGACAGAGTGTGAGAGAGCATGAGAGGGGAGTTCAGAGGGAGAAGCAGACTCACAATGGAGCTGGGAGCCGGATGTGGGACTCAATCCCAGGACTCTGGGACCATGACCTGAGCCAAAGGCAGTTGCTTAACCAGCTGAGTCACCCAGGCACCCTGTGATCATCATTTGTAGTTGTAGTTTGAAAATTTTGTTGTTTCTCTAAACCTAAAATGAAGTGCATGTGTTTTTTGAAATTAGAATAAACAATAATACTATACTTTCTACATTTTTTTTTTTAAGATTTTATTTATTTGTCTGAGTGAGAGACAGCATGAGCAAGCAGAAGGTTAGGGGGAGACCCAGACTCCCCATGGAGCTGGGAGCCTGATGCGGGACTTGATCCCAGAACTCCGGGATCATAACCTGAGCTGAAGGCAGTCGCTTAACCAACTGAGCCACCCAGGCGCCCTCTTTCTACATTTTAAATTACATGCTTGGAGCAGTCTTATATTTGACAATTTGTTGTGTCTTCCAAATATCTTAATGCCTTTTGGTTTCTTTTCCCAGCTCGATTACGTGGTGTTCACGATGGTCTCTTCACTGGACAAATAGATGCTGTGGATACTTTTAATGCTACTTACAGAGTAACTTTTGATAGGGCAGGGCTTGGAACCCATACCATTCCTGACTATGAAGTTCTTGTAAGTATTTCATAATACGCTTGTGTCTTCTGCCTATTAAATATGTTATTTGGGATGCCTGTCTGGCTCAGTTGGTAGAGCACAATGACTCCTGATCTTGGGCTTGTGAGTTTGAGCCCCCCACTGGGTGTGGAGATTACTTAAAAATTTTTTTTGATTTTTTTTTTTTTTTTTTTAAGATTTTATTTATTTGAGAGAGAGAGAGCACAAGCATGAGGAGCAATAGGCGGAGGGAGAAGCAGGGTCCCCACTGAACAGGAAGCCTGATGCAGGGCTTGATCCCAAGACCCTGGGATCATGACCTGAGCTGAAGGCAGACACTTAACTGACTGCAAACAAGCCAGATGCCTCAAAAATGTAAAAAATCTTCAAGCTGTGTTATATAGAATTTTCTACGGACTGTATTTTGTGATAGATTCAAGACTTCGGGTCATGGAGGAAGATCCTTAGGCGTTCACAGGCCTGCCTACTAGGCCCCTGGACCAGAACTCTACTCAAGTCTTCAACATTGTCTAGAAGTGAACATCCCTCCACTGTACCGACTCACACAGCATTGTAGTGTGACAGAGCCGATCCCTCCTCCCTCAATAACCTTGGAGAATAAGCTGCATGACACTTTTATTCCAGCTTTGTTGTTAAAGTTTGGTCGTCTCACAAAATGATTTTAAAAGTACGAAGTAACATCTTGTACGTTAGGATTTGTTCTGTTTCATCCTCAGAATTATACAGGGTGGCTTTTAATTACCCTCACTTTTTTCATGATGAAACTTAAGGCATAGTACGTGAAGTAATTTATTCAAGACTCTAGAGTTGGTAGAGACAAGCTGAGACCAGAATCCGAATCTTTTGAATTCTTGAATCAGTCCTTTAAACTACTAGGCCATTATTTCCCAATCACATTTGATTTAGCAAAGTCATAAGAGTTACGTACCTTTCTAATAAGTCAAAATAACTTTAAGAACCAAACAACTCTGCAGTGTAATAAAGTTTTTAAAAAGTTGAATAATTACCTTTTTTTTTTTTTTTTTTAAGATTTTAAAGTAATCTCTACACCCAATGTAGGGTTGAACTTACAACCCTAGATCAAGAGTTGCAAACTGTACTCACTGCGCTGGCCAAGAGCTTTAATAACAAACTTTTTATTTTTTAAAGATTTTATTTATTTATTTGACAGAGAGAGCACAAGCAGGGGGAGCAACAGAGAGAGAAGGAGAAGCAGGCAGCTGAGCAAGGAGCCTGATGGGCTCGATCCCAGAACCCTGGGATTATGAACTGAGCCAAAGGCAGATGCTTAACTGACTGAGCCACCCAGGTGCCCCAGTAATGAACTTTTTATATTAGAATTGTTGGTCACTAAGAATTATGGAAATAAAATTGTTCACTTGTCACCTCCCTTTTGAAATTTCTTTGTTATAAACTTGATTTTTAAAAATCAAGTTATACCTTACAGTTGAAAATCAAAATTTCTTGGGACACCTGGGTCGCTCAGGTCATGATCCCAGGGTCCCAGGATCGAGCCCCACATCAGGCTCCCTGCTCAGCAAGGAGCCTGCTTCTCCTTCTGCCACCACTCCCCCTGCTTGTCCTCTCTCTCTCTACCAAATAAATATATAAAATACTTTTGAAAAATCATGATTTCTTTATCTTCTTAGTGCAAATATAGAAGAATCTTCTTTTTCTGATGCATACTTTTTAAAAATTAAGACTATTTATTGTGAGTCTTTCCTCAAACATACTTTTTAGAGAGGAGAATTAGGAGAGAAAGAAAATTTGGACTACATCTGTAGAGCAAAGTACACCAACCCTAAGTATTTTTCCTTAAAGCACGCAGTCTTTCAACCACCCCTTTCAAAAAGGGAAAATTGCTTTTCCAGTTCATTAATGTACTTGCTTTATGAGATCACCCAAGTATTTCTCCCTGGCCGGTAAGAGTGGACTGGGAGTATACTAGGTAATACTGAGCCAGCCTTCAGCACACAGGAAGCACCAGTGGTCAGTTTCATATTTGTTTAATATTTCATTTCCTAACTGTTTCGATCCGGTGGTCTTTTTCTTAATTCTTCTGTTCTGTGAGTTTAGCATTTTGATAGCAAAGTAGTATTTTCATTCTCTGACTTACGTTTTAGGCCTTTGACCTTTGTAAGATCGTAGATTCTGTGGTGAATATCTCCAGGGGCAATATCATGTTTATAAAGCTGAGATGGTCGGTAAAGTTCTTCAAGACCTGTGCACTTTTCTCTTTTCTCAAAGAGTAACGAGCCTCACGAGACGATGCCGATCGCTGCCTTTGGACAGAAACAGCGGCCTTCCCGGTTCTTTCCGACTCCACCCCGGTTACATTATACTCCTCCTCTCCACTCACCCATTACGGTAAATAATATGTTTTAAATGTCATCAGTAATTTAAATGATTATTATGAGTGTGAGTTATGTTTTTTATGAAATACACATCTATCACAGCAACGTCAGGAGGTAGCTACATTATTTTAAGTTGTCAGTTATTATATAAGTAAATAGTTACTTCAACTCTGGAAATATTTGTAAGATTTTTAATGTAATATTATAATTCGATTTATTTTTTAATCTAAAAATAAAATGCTTTCTTTCAAACAGTGAGTGGTTAAATGATTCCCTTTTATTCCCATAGGATAATGATCCTTTACTAGGACAGTCGCCTTGGAGAAGTAAGATTTCTGGCTCTGACACTGAAACTTTAGGTGGTTTTCCAGTAGAATTCCTTATCCAAGTGGTAAGAATTGCTCTGAGTATCTTGGCTTGTTTATGAAAAAAACTGAACAGCTTTTGTGTTAATTAAAATAGAAAATCTTTCTATGACCAAATTCTTTTACTTTCTTTCTTTCTTTTTTTTTTTTTTTAAACCACTGTGTTGGTTTTAAGAACACTGTTATTTCCAAGCAGCATCTTTTTCTGCCCATGGGTCCTGTCCCTATGCTTTAATAAATCCACACACAAAAAAATTGTTCTTTCCAGCAAAGCTTGAAAATAAAAGTCAGGGCACCTGCGTGGCTCAGTTGGTTGAATGTCTGACTCTTGATTTCAGCTCAGGTCATGATCTCAGGATTCTGAGAACAAGCCCTGCATCAGGCTCTGCACTCAGTGAGGAGTCTGCTGGAGATTCTCTTTCCCTCTGCCCTTCCCATTCGCTCATGCTCTCTCTTTCTCTCTAACAAATTAATTAATTAATTAATCAATAATAATACTAACAATAAAAATAAAGTAACCTTAAGGAAGTGAAAGTTGTAACACTCAAAAAAGACTTAGAGGCTTTTTTGTTGAACTCCTCCTGCGTTTGGTTCTTATTTTGCTGTGTTAAGGACTCTAACATTATAGCATATGTTCTGTCAAAGCTGAGTGGTTGGCTGTTAATAACTTGTGTAAGTATAAAGGCCTTTATTAGGGACCTCAGTGCATCCTGCAGTTATCGGTCAACTGGGGAGTTACAATGCGTTGGCTGCTTGACTAGTGGTAGACACTGAGCAATACAAGCATCACCTGAAACAAGTGTGGAATGATTATGTAGAACAATATCCCTGAATAGACTGGAACAGAATGAGAATATAATGAGCTGTTCACTTTGAAAATTAGATTAAATCAGCCATTTACTTTGAATCATAGTCTAATAATGTTTGATTTCTTTTCCTTTTTTTTTTTTTAAAGATTTTATTTACTTATTTATTAGAGAGAGAGAGAGAGATCACAAGCAGGCAGAGAGGCAGGCAGAGGGAGAGGGAGAAGCAGGTTCTTTTCTTTTTCTGAGAAGAAAAACTACATTTGCTTGGGGTAGAGCATAAATAAAAAGATTGGTAACATAATCCATTAAAATATTCAATGTTAAACCACTTGCCATTGATGTTGTCTTAAGGAAACATGTTATGATTTAATTGCATATGTATAGCATTTTGTATTCCTTGATCATATGTTGTTGGTTATCCTTGCAGTGCTTTCTTTTGCCTTTTGGCTTCCAAAGGTAGATAAGATATTTTTATATGAAAAGTTGAAGGGTGGGGTGGGTGGGTGGCTCAGTGGGTTAAGCCTCTACCTTTGGCTCAGGTCAAGATCTCAGGGTGGTGGGATCCAGCTGGCATCAGGCTCTCTGCTCAGCAGGGAGCCTACTTCCCCATCTCTCTCTGCAGGCTGCTCTGCCTATTTGTGATCTCTGTCTGTCAAGTAAGTAAATAAATTCTTAAAAAAAAAAAAGTTGAAATTATGAACAGAGCCAAGCCTTGTCCTCTTCACAAAGAGGACACTTGTTTTTTAAAGAAATTCTTTCTTTTAAGTAGTAGATGTAAAAACAAAGCTTATATGACCTATTTGGTTGTGTGTCTATGTGCACGCACACGTGAGAGTGAGGGAGAGAGAAGAGAGGGAGCGAGAGAGAAATGCCAGCAGAGGGAGCTGGAAGCTGAGCACTACTGCAGTACTTCGGAAGTACTGGTGTTTTTCTTGATGCTAAAATACTTGGGTTCAGTGGTTAATTTTAACATCAAAAACTAGGTATGAAGAAGCCTAGTTAAAACACTACTTTATGGGGCACCTGGGTGGCTCAGTGGGTTAAAGCCTCTGCCTTTGGCTTGGGTCATGATCCCAGGGTCCTGGGATCGAGCCCCGCATCGGGCTCTCTGCTTGGCAGAGAGCCTGCTTCCTCCTCTCTCTCTCTGCCGGCCTCTTTGCCTACTTGTAATCTCTGTCTGTCAAATTAATTAATTAATTAATTAATTTTTTAAAAACAAAACAAAAAAACACTATTAAAAAATAAAAAAAAACACCCCACTACTTTATTATTTTAAGCTCTCTAAGAGATAAAAATAAAAGTTCTTTTATGTACCTGTCTTTTATAATACGTAAGGTTTTATGACACTCCAGTTGCTCTTGTTAATATTAAGCTTTGAGTAGATGTGTCTGCGTGTGTGTGAGATTTATTTTTTTTTAAATAGGCTCTGTGCCCAACACGGGACTGAAACTCACAACCCTGAGATTAAGAGTCGCACCCTGTACTGACTGGGCCAGCCAGGCACCCCTGAAGTAGATATTTTTATCTGCTGTTCCTAATACTTTTTTCTTTTCATCATCGTCTTCTTCTTCCTTTTTTTTTTTTTTTTAGGTTTTATTTATTTATTTACAGAGAGAGACACAGGAAGAGAGGGAGCACAAGCGGGGGAGTGGGAGAAGGAGAAGCAGGCTTCCCGCCAAGCAGGGAGCCTGATGCGGGGCTCAATCCCAGGACCCTGGGATCTTGGCCGGAGCTGAAGGCAGACACTTAATGACTGAGCCACCCAGGCACCCCCTGATATTTTTTTCTTATGACAAAAGAAGAATTAAACATTTTTTGCAAGTTCCAGGGTGCCTGGGTGGCTCAGTCAGTTAAGTGTCTGACTCTGGATTTCCGCTCAGGTCCTGATCTCAGGGTCTTGAGATGGAGCCCTGTGTCTGGTTCTGCGCTCAACTGGGAGCCTGCTTAAGATCTCCCTCTACCCTCTCCCACCCACCACGCCACTAACTCTCAAAAAAAAAAGCAAGTTTCATAATTCATAGTTTACAGTGAATTTTCTTTTTGAAGAAACTTTTGGTTTCCTGGGGCTAGGGATTTTGAGGAATCTAAAGAGACTGATCACTTCTTCAAGAGGACTCAGTTTTGTAAAGAAGGAAAAGGAAACCATGATTTTCTATCAAAAACAAGCAACACAACACTGAAGTAGAAACAATAAAGGAACAGTTGCCTTCATCCCATCTTTTACTGCTTCCATCTCTAAAGAATCACACATATTTCTGTAAAAATCCAACAACCTGGCAGAGAAGGGAGACCTGTCCCCAGCTCTGGGCCTGCCGAGCTTTAACTACAGTCTGTTCCATAACAAGTATGGGGCATATCTTTCTTTCTTTTTTTTTTTTAAAGATTTTTATTTATTTGTTTGTTTGACAGAGATCACAAGCAGGCAGAGAGCCAGACAGAGAGGTGGGAGGGAAGCAGGCTCCCTGCTGAGCAGAGAGTCGGATGCCAGGCCTGATCCCAGGACCCTGCGATCATGACCTGAGCCGAAGGTAGAGGCTTCAACCCACTGAGCCACCCAGGCGTGGGGCATATCTTTCTAACTAGGCCCTCTGCCTATCTCAACTGAGGCCAATTTTTAGTTTTTTTTATTATTGAAAATTTAAGCACATAAAAGCAGACAGAATTGTTTGCTGCTCCTCTGTGTACCCATCATGGAGCTAGAAACGGTCTCAGCAACCCCTGGCCAGTCCTGTTTCATCTATACTTCTACCTACTTGCTCCCTCGTGTATTATTTGGAAGCAGAGACAGACATTGTATCATTTATATGTAAATATTTTGTTATGTATCTCTAAGAGATAAGGGCTTTTATTTCTTTTCTTTTCTTTTTTTTTTTTAACATAACTAAGGGACACCTGGCTGGCTCAGTCAGGGGAGCATTCGACTAGATCTTAGGTTGTGAATTTAAGCTCCACATTGGGTGTAGAGATTACTTTAAAAAAAGGAAAAGAAGGGGTGCCTGGATGGCTCAGTGGGTTGAAGCCTCTGCCTTTGGCTCAGGTCATGATCTCAGGGTCCTGGGATTGAGCCCCGCATCGGGCTCTCTGTTCAGTGGGGAGCCTGCTTCCTCCTCTCTCTCTGCCTGCTTGTGATCTCTCTCTCTCTCTCTCTCTCTCTCTCTGTCAAATAAATAAATAAATAAATAAATCGATCTTAAAAAAAAAAAAAAGAAAAGAGAAAAGAAACATAACTACAATACCGTTATTACATCTAATAAGTTAACAGGGGCGGGGGCGCCTGGGTGACTCAGTCATTCAGCATCTGCCTTCAGCTCAGGTCATGATCCCAGGATCCTGGAATTGCCCCACATCAGGCTCCCTGCTCGGCAAGGAAGCCTGCTTTCCCTCTCCCACACCCCCTGCTCCTATTCCTGCTCTTGCTGTCTGTCTGTCTGTCTGTCTCTCTCTTTCTCTCTTGCTGTCAAATAACATAAATAAAATCTTCAAAATTAGAAAAAAGTATCTGTATGAACTCACAAATGTTAACATATTTGTGCTTTGGTCCATCACGGTTGTTCTTACTGGTCCATAAATGGTCCCATGTGGGCCAGTGAAAGCTCGTTCATATTGACTCCTTAGTCCTTTTGACGTGTTCTGCTTACAGTGGATTTTAAGAAAATCTTTTTTGGCTAGCCAGTCAGATTTTTATTTTCAAAAATGTCTGTGCTATATTTATTTATATTGAAACACTAAAATCTGCTAAAATATCTTATTGGAAGATTGGTAATTTGATGGTTGTTATACTTAAATGCCTCTATTCCAAAACATCTCTTTTTCTTTGTCTATAGACCAAATTGTCGAAAATTCTCATGATTAAAAAGGAACATATAAAAAAATTAAGGGAAATGAACACAGAAGCAGAAAAATTGGTAAGAATATTTCTCTTTTTTCTTTATTTGTCTACTTTTAAAATAGTGGGGACTTCTATATCTAAGGAATTAAAAATACTTTTTTGAGGAAAACCTTGAGATAAATGAGATAAATATTATTTTAAAATCCTCGTTTGCTATCTTTATGTCTTGTTATACTGAACACATGCTAAGTAAATTAGCCGGGCAATGCAGTTCATTACCCCAGACCTCATTATGCCACTGACTGTCTGGCGGGATAGGATTAATGGGTGGGCTGGGTTTTTGACAGTTTGCATGAATGTAGAATCCCTAGCACTGGTGCCTTGTCTAAGGGAGTCATGTTAACAGAGGTTATTAAAAGTGATTCAGAATAAATAAATCAAGAAATATATAAGTTGGCATATTCGGGTTATCTTGATAGTGCTTTATATCCTATTCTATTAATCTAGTCAGTCCAAAAATATGAGGGTCAATTTTAGTCACAGGAGAAAATTATCAGAGTTTTCTTTTTTTTTTTTTTAAAGATTTTATTTATTTATTTGACAGAGAGAGAGAGATCACAAGTAAGCAGAGAGACAGGCAGAGAGGCGGGCGGGGGGCGGGGGGAAGCAGGCTCCCCGATGAGCAGAGAGCCCGATGTGGGGCTCGATCCCAGGACCCTGAGACCATGACCTGAGCCAAAGGCAGCGGCTTAACCCACTCAGCCACCCAGGCGGCCCACAGAGTTTTCTTTTTTTTAATATAGAAAATTCACTAAGAAAATTCACCCAGGGGGCGCCTGGGTGGCTCAGTGGGTTAAGCCTCTGCCTTAGGCTCAGGTCGTGATCTCAGGGTCCTGGGATCCAGCCCCACATCCAGGCTCCCTGCTCAGCGGGGAGCCTGATTTCCCCTCTCTTTCTGCCTGCCTCTCTGCCTCCTTGTGATCTCTCTCTCTGTCAAATAAATAAAAATTTTTTTTAAATATGTTTAAAAAAAATTTTGTTTGAATTGTACTGAAAGGCATAACTTGCTTATGGACTTATAGGATGGCAAATATTCATCCCAAGTACCGTCTCCAAGTGATTGCAAATGGCCACATGGAGATTTGGAGTCACTAAACCCAGGCAAGCACTATAGTTCATTACCAACATCCGCCTTGAGCGCAGGACCAGGGAGTCATAGAATCAGTCATCTCTAGTGCGTGTGGGCCAACAGGTAGATAAGGGATGCCTAGCTGAAAGAGGAACAGTCTTCTTTTAGGATGATGGAATTTTATCTGAACTTGACTTTAAATTTTCTAATTTAAACCTCCATTTTATGGACTTGGAAACTGAAGACCAAAGATGTCAAGGAATTTTAGTCTGAGATTATCCTGCTGTTTAGTAGTACAGATACCAAAACAGGCTTCTTGGGGTGCCTGGGTGGCTCAGTTGATTAAGTGTCTGACTCTTGACCTCAGAGTTGTGAGTTCAAGCCCCGCATTGGTCCCCAAGCTGGGCATAGAGCCTGCTTAAAAAACAAACAAAACAGGCTTCTTGGTCCCAGCTCAGTTCATTTAGGCACAATCTGAAAACTGTATTGACAGATCCACAGGCTATCAAAGGTAGCAAAGAGTTAGCCATAATGTATTGCCATTATATACCCCAAAACATAAAAATGTATATATTTGCTTCTTTCCTATTGGACTCAATTCCTTTCTTGAGTTCCATCAGTTCTACTTCTACCGTTTTCTCTATGCCTTCTCATTACTCCCTAGCTACATCTCTTCTGATCATTTTATCATCTCTTTCATCTTTATGCATAATCTAATTATGTCACTTTCATATCACTAGCTAAGACTTTTCCCTGTGTCTGGGTTCCACACCTTAAAGTACTGGGCTTGCCTTAGCCTGGTTAGTATTACCTAATTTGAATAGAGGCCTCATTTGATGTTGGCTTGGCTCTTGGCATGTGAGAACTTTATAGAAGTCTAGATAACTTGATACGTTTTATTACTTGTTTGTTTTATTTATGATTAAAAATAACTCCCATTATAAAAATTTAAATATTGTAAGACTGATGACAACAGTAGTTCTTTATAGTGCCTTCCCCATAGATTAATATTATTTAGCTAAGCATATGCTATAAATGTTTGTATGTTAAGCATATGGACTTCTTCTATGCATGTACGTCCTATGTGGTTTTGAAAATTATTTTCTAAAAAAACTGAATTCTGTCATTATATTAATTCAGCCTTTAAAATTTCTGTATTATACCATAATTTAGTTTATTAATAGGTATTTGGGTTATTTCCATTATTTATTTTTCTAAAATAGTGCTAAAGGGGCACCGGGGTGGCTCAGTTGGTTAAGCATCTGCCGTTGGCTTAGGTCATGATCCTAGGGCCTGCTTCTCCCTCTCCCTTTGCCACTCCCCCTGCTTATGTTCACTAGTTCTCATTCTCTCTTTCAAATAAATAAGTGGAGTCTTTATTAATAAATAAATGAAATAAAATAGTGCTAAGGTGAGGCACCTGACTAGCTTGATCTTGGGTCATGAGTTTGAGCCCCACACTGGGTATAGAGATTACTTAAATAAGTAAATATTAAAAATAAAAAGGTGCTATAGCAAATATCCTCATCTGTATAGTTTTGTGCATTTGTCTGTGTCTATCTGTAAGATAGATTCTTAAAAAGTAGAATAATGGTTGGATCAAAGTATATGAACATTTTAAAGATTTAATGAAACTTCTGGTTTAAGGTGGTAGGCTGAAAACATGTTTTCCTCCTATCCCCTACAATTTCACATAAAATAAGATGTATAAAAAGAAATAAATAGAATAAATGAAAGCAGACTGTTTTACAATGTATGCAGGATTTTAAAAATTTTCCATGTTGGGTGAAACACAGCTGAGATGGAACATGGCTGAGAGTCTACATGTTGGAACCCTAAAGAGGCTCCCGGCCCACATATGATGGAGGAATGCAGAAGTGAGGTACACTACTTAAAAGGAATTGATTCATTGTCAGTTTCCTCATTCCCCGTTTTCATCCTAGTGACAGAACTGGGTAAATGTGACATTTACCCAAGTTAAAAAGAAGGAAACAGACGCTCCTCTAAAGAATTTGAATATGGAATTTGGGGGAAATTTGAGGCTTCTGCTTTTAGTAATGGTAGACTAGGTAATTTGGGTTAACCTTTCTAATCCACGTAGTTGAAAACAACTTTTTCCTCTGGAATAAAATACAAAAATAACCGGCTTGTAGACACTAAAGCATTAACTAGGTCTTAAAGAATTATAGGGATAGGGGCGCCTGGGTGGCTCAGGAGGTTAAGCCGCTGCCTTCGGCTCGGGTCATGATCTCAGGGTCCTGGGATCGAGCCCCGCATCGGGCTCTCTGCTCAGCAGGGAGCCTGCTTCCTCCTCTCTCTCTGCCTGCTTTGTGATCTCTCTCTGTCAAATAAATAAATAAAATCTTTAAAAAAAAAAAAAAAGAATTATAGGGATAGAATCTGGGAAAAGAAGTAAACTCGGAAGGGGGAACCTGGCATTTAGCATTGCTTTTTTCTTCAGGGGTTTTCCACACTTCTAGAAAAGGTAACTGAGAAATTGAGTGGCATTCCTGAAAGGTATACAAGGGAAGAGAGGACAAAAATTAAGAGTCCAGAGACCATCAGGGGTTAGGGGAAGCTGGCAAACCTTCCATGCTCTGAGTTGGAATGCCAAGGCAACGTTGGCCCAGCTTCAAATTATCTCATCTCCAAAGTGGAACTGATGTGATTATAGAATCTGAGACCCACAAGAAGTAAGTACTCCTCTTAGTGGAATATAACATTACACTAAGCCTCAAATTATTTCTAAACTTCTTACTATACAGTGTCTGGAAACTCATTTTTAAATCTCAGACACAAGAGGAGACAAGATAACCATAATAAAACCAAAAGAAAGTATAGACAATCGGCAGATTCTAGATAATGGAATTTTTTAGACATAGATTTTAAGTGCTTAATTTGTTTAAAGAAATGAGACAAAATTGAGAATTTTAGAAGAGAATTGGAAACAACAAAAAGGACCAAATGCAAGTTCTAGAAGTAAACTATAGCAATCAAAATTAACTCAGTTGGGAGGTATAATCACAACAGATTAGGAACAGTTGAAGAGAGAGCTAGTAATTGAAAATAGATCAGAAAATATACAGAATGAAGCATAGAGGGAAAATGGATGGAAAATACAGAAGAGAAGAGAAACGAGGGACATAATGAGAGGTCCAGCATATCTAATGGAGTAAGAGAAGAAGAAAAGATATAATGGGACAGAAGGAATATTTAAAGGGATAGTGACTGAGAACATTCCAAAACTGTCAAAAAATAATAGACCACAGATTCAAGAAGCCCTGTGACTTTCAATGGGATAAATAAAAAGATAAGAACTGTAAGGCATAGTGATAGTAAAACTGCTAAAAACTAAACAGAAAGTAAAAAAATAAAGTATCCAGAGCCAGGAGCACCTGGTTGGCTCAATCAGTAGAGCATGTGATTCTTTTTTTTTTTTTTTTTTTAAACCTTTCAAGATTTTATTTATTTATTTGTCAGAGAGAGAGCAGGAGCATGTCTACCAGGTAGAACAGGTAGAGCAGTCAGAGAGAGAAGCAGTCTCCCGCTGAGCAAGGAATCTGATGTGGGACTTGGTCCCAGGACCCTAGGATCATGACCCTGAGCCGAAGACAGGCACTTAAATGATTGAGCCCCCAGATGTCCGATTCTTGATCACAGGGTCATGTGTTTGAGATCCACATTGGATGTAGAGATTACTTAAATAAATAAATTACAATAAATAAATAAATAAATAAATAAAGTACCCAGAGCCAGATGTGTACTGGGCAGGAATTTGTTTGACATCTGACTTCTCCACAGAGAGAACAGAAAATGGAATAACATCTTCATAGGGCTGAAACAAAATTATTACCAACCTAGATTTCTGTATTCAATTTCAAGGTAAAGTAATATAAGGACTATTTGAAGATAACTTTATAGAGTTTTTTCAAGAATACCTATACTTA